ATTCATGTACAAAGATATGTTGTGTTTGTTCAAAAAGTCTCTACCAAGTAGTAACGGAAATGGTAGCCATTCGTCTGGCAGTATGTAAACTAAAAGTGGTTCGTAACGGTTTTGTAATATTCTTATTTGTTGTTCGGGTCTAATTAAGGTTCCTCCCATACTTTTAAATTGTGGCATTGATTTGTGTTCACGTATTCTTCGTTGATTCACATTTTCTACCAACGATCGCCGCACGAAACCATTGGGGCTACCCGTGTCAAATAGGGAAACAAAATTTTTTAAGTTTATGTTTTTTGGAAAACGGATGTCCAAAGCGACACTTACCATTTCCTTAAAATAAACCTCCTCGAACTCGTTGTCTACCCCATCTATCACTGCTACTGGTTTCGCGGAACATTTTTTTATATATGTGGTCCAGTTTGCTGCATCTGAAGCAGGAGCCCTGGATGCGCTTCTTCTCCGTACAGTCCTTTGCGAAATGCCCTTCGCGAGAGCAATTGAAGCATCTCATAGTAGGTGCCTGATCTCTATCGCGTGGTGTGTTCGATGTATTGGCAGCCGTCGGCTTCCGTACCATTTTCTCGTAGTTCAGAAGCAGGCCTTAAGTGCCTCAATAGTCGTTGCTCCACTAAATATTAGTGCTTTGCAGGAGTTGTCGCGTAAGCCCTCTACTATGAATTCGACGAGTTCCGGTTCGTCAATCGGTGCCGTTCGTGCCAACTCTTGCATTGATAAGACGTAGTGCGTCAGGCTCTCCGTCTTTTCCCATACGCGCGACTNCGTTCGTGCCATCTCTTGCATTGATAAGACGTAGTGCATCAGGCTCTCCGTCTTTTCCCATACGCGCGACTCCAGTTTTTTTTTTTAATTTCCTTCACGCTGGCTGGCCGTTTAAATTCCATGATGAGGAAATGTTTTATATCGCACCAGGAGTGAACGTCGACCATCTTGACATACAGTCGTGCGCTCCCAGTGAGCATGCAACGTGCTAGCAAGGGCTTTGATTTTTCGTCGCCGCCGTAACACTTCGTGACGTACTCGAACTCCTGTATCCACTTTTGGAAATCCACGCCATCGTCCCCGCTAAATTTTGGGATGGAGTTTTCAATGTCACTAAAATTTACGGGGAATTTTGGTGTCGAATTTACGTCCTCCAATTTCTTGATTTCGTTTTTCAGTTGCAGGATACGTAGCTGTTTCTCGAGCTTACTTCGAGCTCCGTTAGCTCGTCGGTATATGTGGTAGCCGCTACTCTGCCGGCTATATTTGCTGCTACGCCACCGTTATCAAACGCTGCTGGCTTTTGGCTGCTTACCGCTGCCACTAATGGCGTGGCGTCGCGGTTTAATGAAGCTGCGCCGTCGTTGGCGCAGGTTGTGTAGTTGCTGCTGAGACTGTGGTTTCGTTTGCTGGAGTGACACTAACGTTTGCTGGGATGGCACTGAGGTTTGCTGGAGTGGCAGTGAAGTCTCTGAAGTGGGACTGAAGATTGCTGAAGCGGCTGAAGTTGCTATGGGGGTCTCTGAAGTTACACTGAAGTTTGCTGTAGTGGCTGAAAATACTATGGGGTTTGCTGAAGTGGCACTGAAGTTTGCTGAAGCGGCTGAAATTGCTATGGGGGTCTCTGAAGTGGCACTGAAGTTTGCTGGAGTGGCTGAAGATACTATGGGGTTTGCTGAAGTGGCACTGAAGTTTGCTGAAGCGGCTGAAATTGCTATGGGGGTCTCTGAAGTGGCACTGAAGTTTGCTGGAGTGGCTGAAGATACTATGGGGTTTGCTGAAGTGGCACTGAAGTTTGCTGAAGCGGCTGAAATTGCTATGGGGGTCTCTGAAGTGGCACTGAAGTTTGCTGGAGTGGCTGAAGATACTATGGGGTTTGCTGAAGTGGCACTGAAGTTTGCTGAAGCGGCTGAAATTGCTATGGGGGTCTCTGAAGTGGCACTGAAGTTTGCTGGAGTGGCTGAAGATACTATGGGGTTTGCTGAAGTGGCACTGAAGTTTGCTGAAGCGGCTGAAATTGCTATGGGGGTCTCTGAAGTGGCACTGAAGTTTGCTGGAGTGGCTGAAGATACTATGGGGTTTGCTGAAGTGGCACTGAAGTTTGCTGAAGCGGCTGAAATTGCTATGGGGGTCTCTGAAGTGGCACTGAAGTTTGCTGGAGTGGCTGAAGATACTATGGGGTTTGCTGAAGTGGCACTGAAGTTTGCTGAAGCGGCTGAAATTGCTATGGGGGTCTCTGAAGTGGCACTGAAGTTTGCTGGAGTGGCTGAAGATACTATGGGGTTTGCTGAAGTGGCACTGACGTTTTCTGAAGTTGCTACGGAGTTTGCCGGTGGGGCGCTGCTATTGTCTGTAGTGGCGCTACTGCGCTTCATCGGTACGTTGGTAGTTCCCGAATCTTGCGGAATTATATCGCCGATCGCCGTCACTGATTTTGCCGCCGAAGCTGGGGCGGCAGTCACCGTTGCTGGCAAAATAGCTGTTTTTTTTCGGCGAGTTACCGTTTTCCCTTTGCGGTACTCCTACGGCCGATGATAAAAGGATTTTCAACTGTCTCACCGTCGCGGTCTCCGAAAAACAATTCCGAGATCACGCAAAGAATTTGCAATCTGCTGCTTTTCCGACATTGCTGAGGTACTTTTAAGTTTAAAATTTTGCGCGAAATGTGCTCTTTTACCACACCTGACGATGTAGGACTTTATTTAGTACGATGCGTTTTATTTGGCTGACGAACGAATAATAATATCTTTAATAGCCTGTGTTACCAGACCATCAGTCATTTACATATCGTATATAGTGCAGTGTTGACATATGGGATACACTATTGATAATGTATTCTACTACCGTTTACATATTGTTAATCTGNCACCATGGTAATTTCGATGGTTTGGTAATAGAGATACATTTTCACGTTGTTCGCGAGCGGGACTCAAGATTTCGTGTTATTGTTGGTAATGACGTTTTGAAATCAGTGCACATAATACTGAAAGGTGACGAGGTAGAGTTTAGAAAGCAGCCGTCAGCACATGCCAACCGTTGAGGCCCAGTCCGTTAATAGAAAATTAGTTGTTGATAGTAGAGATGAGTCGTTTTTACTGAAAAAAGAGGTCGGAAGGCTGTGCACGGTGGCAAGCTTCGAAAACGAAGTGAACGTTAACTTTTCGCACTTAGATGTAGCCAAAGAAAGCCAAATTACCTCGTTGATACAAATNGGAAGTGAACGTTAACTTGTCGCACTTAGATGTAGCCAAAGAAAGCCAAATTACCTCGTTGATACAAATTGTGTAACTGAAACTTTAAAGCAAATCAAATGAATACGTGTGCTTGAACTTAAAAACTATTAAATAAAAGTGTGCAACTAAATCCTCAAAATAAAACATACATATGTAATTAGAACTTAAAGGCTGTTAAATAAAACTTAAAGGATGTAGGGTAATTAAACTGCAAGACTTTCTGCAACAAATGATGACTCTCATGTTTTCGGAGCCGTTCAACTGCCACGTTTGCTGGTTTCGTGCACGATCATTCAGAGTACAGATTTGCCGAAGTCAATATCAGTATGAGCAGTTATAAGCATCGTTCACTTGTGGTGGCTATATTTGCAAGACAGCACGNGCCACGTTTGCTGGTTTCGTGCACGATCATTCAGAGTACAGATTTGCCAAAGTCAATATCAGTATGCGCAGTTATAAGCATCGTTCACTTGTGGTGGCTATATTTGCAAGACAGCACGCAATGCGCTCGTGTTCAGTCATCCTCTAATTTCGTTTAGGTATCGATACTACTAAGCCAACGCCGCTGCTCAGTCATACAAAGCAGCGGTATTGAATGAGTATGAACAGTTGACGATCAACCAATGCCATTCCCTGATTTGTATCCTAAAAACATACGTGTTATAAAAATCTATACACATACCACAATTTAATTACACTGGTCGACGGCCAAAATTTACCAGAGACGCCGTTATGAAATTCGTATGTAAAATCACCCCCTGATTCCGAAAATCAAGGCTATTTTTAATTTTATGGTACCGTTTTTGAGATATTTGCAATTTACCGTTTTTGCAAAAAAAAAAAAAATTGGGTCCACTTAATCATATATATCTCAAGAACGAATTAAGCAATTCCAAAACGGTTTGAAGCTTTTAAAAGGTAATAAAATTTTCTATAAGCTGTGCATACAACACTTTTTGCTAGGCCCTGTAGATTCAAAGATAACGAACAATCATTACCGATTTTTTCAATTTTTTTT